AGCATAGCAATTTTTGATGCTCCTCAGCTCCATCTAGTGGCCATGATGTGTGGCAAAGCTTATTGGCATAGCTGTTCACTGTGCGAATGTTTTGTAAATCAAACTCATAATGTTTGGCAAAACATGACTCCAAATTGGAAGCCATGCTGGCGCCATCTTAGTTCTCATTAGATGTATGCAAGCTTTGTAATGGTTGTGTAATGCTTTCAGGTATGTATTGCTCTATGATCACAGTTACACAGATTACCTTTTATTTTTTTTTAAACATTTCCATATTTGTTCAGGAATCACCCAGGGCTGGCTTCTCCTTCCTGCACTAAGGTGATGGCTCAGAGAGAACACAACCATGTAAATCCTGGTGCCTGTGCAGTTCTTGGCTGTGTTCATAAGACCTCGTTCACACCGGGTGGTTCGGCCGCACGGCTCCGCCATCATGAACGATCCCATACATTGCATGAAACCGCGCTGATCCGCAACCGCCCTGGTGTGAATGGGCTCTTATGTCTGACAGATCAGCCCCTCTAGCAACCTCTCACCTTGTTACAATGTTGCAGTGTGATCACTGGGGGAGAAGAGACTGAGGAAATGCTTCCTGCGGCAGACCGATGATGTTATCTAGGGAAAGTCACTTGACTGCTTTGCAGTGATGAAAGGTAGAGGGTATAGTGTTGTATATTGTGACATGTAAGGAAGTCACACAGACTAGTAAAATGACTGAAAGGCCCTTTCTAAATCTGCAGTTGTGTTGCACCGAGCACGTGTCCCTCTGTCTGTCCTCTGGTGTCAAGCCATAAAATGCTAAAACAGAACATGACGGAAAAGCAGATCATTACCTGAGACAGTACATTCCAGGGACAGTCAGTTCATACAATTATATGGTCAGCTTCAGGAGAACACAGATCTGTGTAAACTTTTCACTTCTGGAATAATTCATGATTCAGTAAACTTTGACATGTGTGAGAACATGTGACCATAATGGAGATTAGGCAGCCGGCTGAAAACCCTCTTCTGTGATCTTGACATCTCAGCCACTTCATCTGTGCCAAAGGGCAGCGATAATGAAAGAGAGAGAGGGAGATTTCTAAAAAGGAACAATAACACCCAAAGTGACAAGTGTGAAATGAGTTTATCATGACATGCTGAGGCTAAATATGGAATAGAACTTGGTCACATTTTCCTGTCTGCTAAACACATGGAACAGGAGACGGGCAGTGTGTTGTATATGTTGTATATGAAGTATAGATAGTGGATGTTGTCCATGTAGTATAGATAGTTAGATGGTGCATGTTGTATATACAGGGATCCCAACCTGAAATAAGTCATTTCAGGGAGGTGCCCTCTGTCAACCCCCCCCCCCAGAAGCTATTGCTTCCTTTGCTATCTGCTGTTTTTTTCTAGAGTTCTGACAGCTGCTGCCGTCAGGACGAAAAAAAAAAAACAGGCATAGGAACTAATAGCTAGATTGCTATTGGTTATTTCAATTTGCAATAGCCAATAGCAGGATGGCTATTGCACCCGCCCACTGCTGCTGTCAGTCAGCAAAGGTGGAACTGATGGAGTACCTCTGGTCCACCGCTGCTGATTGACAGCAGCAGTGGGCGGGTGCAATAGCTAGTTTGCTATTGGTTATTGCAAATTGAAATATTTGAAACATTTTTCACACATGGCTCCTCCATTTTGGCTTTATTTTTGTTAAATAAATAATGACACGGTGTGATGTGTTGTTCTTCATCTGAGGTTGTATTTACCTAAATGTGAGACCTGCTAAGGACCACATGATTTGTAATATGTCCTGATAAGTCATAGAAATCAAAGAGGGTGCACTTTCTTTTTCACATGACTGTATGTGTAGTATATGTTGTATCTGTAGTATATGTCCTATCTGTATTACAGGTGAAACTCGAATAATTAGAATATCGTGCAAAAGTAATTGCAGTAAGTGCTGCAAAAGGGGCCCAAACCAAGTACTGAGTACATATGCATGCTTGTACTTTTCAGAGGTCCGATATTGTTCTATGTACAATCCTTGTTTTATTGATTGCATGTAATAATCTACTTTTTTGAGGTTGTGGATTTGGGGTTCTTGGGGTTTTCATGAGCTGTAAGCCATAATCATCACAATTATGACAAATCACGGCTTGAAATCTCTTGCTTTGCATGTAATGAGTCTATCTCATATATTAGTTTCACCTTTTAAGTTGCATTAGTGAAATAAATGAACTTTGCACGATATTCTAATTATTCGAGTTTCACCTGTATATGTCCTATCTGTAGTATATGTATTATATGTCCTCTCTGTAGTATATGTCCTATATGTCCTCTCTGTAGTATATGTCCTATATGTAGTATATGTAGTATATGTTATATCTGTGGTATATGTAGGTGGGATTTCACTTGATCACCCTGAAACATCTTAAGGTTTTTCCCCCTCCTTCCCTGCTCCTGGATTTGTTTCCTGCTTCTTTTTGGTACGTTTGTAGGTATATTCATATGCGGTCTACTCTACAGTCCATCTACTCACTTTTAATCTAAACTCAGCCTATAAAAAAATAGTGTCCATGTGATACAGAATATTCTATATTCTGCTGGCCCATGAATTCATATACAGCTGCTTTGCTGCTCCCTGGCTGCTGTATTGTATTTCTCTATATTTCCTCTTACCGGTTCAAATATCTCTACAGGACATACAAAATGGGGGGAGGAACCACAGGGTGTGTCGGAGGTTTTTGACAAAGCAGGAAGTGTCAAATACCTTGAGTGGCTGGGCAGCAGCAAAGCATTTGATGTTTGAGGATGGGGGCTCCGGTGCAGATCAGAGAGAGGCCAGTGCTTGATGCTGATACAGAAGCTTATGATCATGCCACAGTGTATGAAATGAAATTCAGGCAATGTTGCCTATATTGCAAAGACACTGGCCACCGGAAAAGGTAAATATCTTAGTCCTCTGCCCCTAGGCAAAAATGAATATTTAACCATTGAGTTCAATTTTAGCCACAATTCCTCTAGTGATACGAAATATTAATTGTTTCCATCAAATTCCAAAACGTTATCTATTTTAATTTCATCCAAATGTCCTGTATTTCTGAAAAGCCTTTCCCCCTGCAAACATCACACAAATCTAAAATCAGTTCTGTGTCCCATACCGGCCTCAGTCTGCTATGGCTATAGATAGGCCTTTGTATATTATTATTATTACTATAACACAGGATTTATAGCTCCAATTATTTCGCGCAGCGCTTTACAAAATAGAGGAGAAGAGTACAGCTACAATACAATTTCAGTACAATAGGGTTAGGAGGGCCCGTCTCATGAGAGCTTACAATCTAGTAGGAGGGGCAAGTGATACAAAAGGTAATCATTGTTTAGATTGAGTTACTGGAAGAAGAAAGAGGGCAGTTATGTTGAGATGAGATAGGCTTCGATGAAGAGATGGTTTTTTAAGGATCGCCTAAAGGTGGGCAGCGTAGGAGATAGGCGGACAGATTGGGATAGGGAGTTCCAGAGGATGGGAGACACTCTGGAGAAGTCCTGGAGGCGAGCATGGGAGGAGGTAATGAGAGAGCAGGAGGTCTTGAGAGGATGGTTTGGGTGTTAATTTGAGACGAGGTGGGTGATGTAGGTTGGGGTGGAGTTGTAGATGGCTTTGTATGTTGTTAGTATAGATGCTCTTCTTTTACAGGCTGGGGTTAGCTTGGAAGGCTTGCTGTATTGGCAAGGCCACTTTAATGAATCAATGCAAAGAGCAATGTTAGTGTATAAAGTCCAACTCCGGGGAAACGAAAAGTTTTCGCTCGCAAGGGTTAACTGCTCATTTATGCCTAGAAGACAGGAAAAAGCTCCTCTCGGTGTTTGGCATTTGTTGCACATGTTGGATTTGGTGTGGGTACACACTGGTAGCTTCAGCTGGCATTGGTATGTGCTGGGCTTCTGGTGTGTCCCTGTCCCTGGCACGCCTGCACCCAATTCATCCTTTCCTATATATGCTCCAAGATGGCGGCTCTCATAGATGAGAATTAGAACCACACTACACAGAGGGGCCCTGACGAGGGAGTGCGGCTTGCACAACTTTTGCTAAATATGTGGAACTAAAAACTCTGTTTTTAACCCTAGTAGTTAGATGGTGTATTATTTTTTTTTGCAGGCGGGCTGGTGAGTGTGCTGGGAATTTGTTGTCTTTGTACTTTTTAAACCATGTGCACCTCACTTTAAAACTAGTTATGAATTGATGAGTGCGTTTGCCATTTCTTCCGCTCCTCTTCTCTCCTTTATTCAATACAATATGGAACTTGCTTTGTACATGATGACATCAGAGGTCCTTAGACCGCCAGCACAAAGGGGAGAAGAGTTTGCAGGGGGAGGGGGGGCAGTCTAGTACCCCGAAGAGAGTTGGCAGGAGCGGGGATCAGGTAAGCAAGCCAGCTTTTTTCTAATTGAGCAGTTAACCCTTGCAATTCGGGGGCAGTCCCACTGTGCATGAAAACTTTTACTTTCCCTGGAGTTGTGCTTCAAATATCCATAACAACCAATCAGATGTCACCTTCCATGAATCAAGGGCAAGCAGATGAATGAAAGGTTATAGTCCATTGCTTGTTGATTTTGATTACGGCCCCTCACCTTATAAAATCCCTCATAATTATTCCAGTATGTTCAGCTCCGCTAAAATGAAAATGACTGCCCCCCCCCTTTTTCCAGGTCCTGATCCCACTTGTATTAATTGTTATCACCGTGATCTGACATTGCCATTGAAATGGCCCGGGCAGTGTGACTGCATCTCACAGATCTGTGTAATAAATGGAGATGATGTGACATCACAAAGCCACTGATCATTTCCCGGGGTCGTGACATCATCCACACCATTGTCTCTACTACGAGCTCCTTCAATCAGCATCAGCATCATCCTGAGCAAAGAACCTCGTCTCAGGCTGCGGCCAGCCAATCAGCGCCGCCCTCTCATCCTCCGCCGCGCTGGCTGCGCATCCTCCGCTGCCCGTTATTGGAGGGATGGGCACACATTGGCAATTGGCTGGGAGTGGAAAGCTGCCTAGAGCTGGCAATGTCTAGCAGGGTGCCCGTTATCTCCTCCGTCCTCCCGGTGTACCGGATTCAGCTCACACACAGCCGCCAGGTACGTCCCCTGCATCTTCTCATTGCTCATCTGTCGCCATCATCCTCATCATCCTCGTCCTCCCCGTCTGTGGATCATTGCATGCAGATCTGCAGAAGGGCCCTGCGATTGTTTATGGCCATCCACAAGAAATGGGCTTTGTGGCCGTGTGTAGCTGCTTGTCGGATGTTATATTTGTGATGATGATGATGATGGTTGTAGAGCCGGGTGGTGACACCAGGGGAGGGGATGAGATGCAGGGGGAGGACGGAGGATGGGGGCTTCGGTGCAGATGAGAGAGAGGCCAGTGCTTGGTGCTAATGCAGAGGCTTGTTGTGATGATGCTACAGTGTATAGGAAATGAAATTCAGGGGATTGCCCCTGTAGGACGATATTATTAGATTTTTTCCCCTCATCCACTATCATAGGTTTGTCTTTTAGAAGGTTTCTTTGCGGATTGCTTAATGCATATGGTATCAGTGATGTGTTGTTTTCTGCTTTGCAGGCCCCCTCCAGATTGACACATTTGGATTGCTCTCGGCCTGGAGAAAGTGCTGTTGAATTCTGCGTCTCTATCCATGGACTCGCCGGGGAGAGGGAATTCTCTCCGGCTTTACCCGCACAATAGGCCACCTGGAGCCCTTCAGTGTTCACAATGAATTTGTCAGACCGAATGACTGATTTTGCCGATCAGGCCCGCTACGACTATGTCAACAGCACCTCCGTGTCTCACGTGGGCAACGGTACGCTGCGAGACATCCAGCAAATCATCCACACGGCGACGCTGGTCACCTGCACGTTCCTCCTCGTGATTATCTTCTGCTTGGGGTCCTATGGGAACCTTGTGGTGTTCTTGTCCTTCTTTGACCCTGCCTTTAGGAAATTTAGGACAAACTTTGACTTCATGATTCTGAACTTGTCGTTTTGCGACCTCTTTATCTGTTGCATCTCCGCCCCCATGTTTGCCTTCGTCTTGTTTTTTGATACCGGCAGCAACGTGCCCGATGCGTTTTGCTTCACCTTTCACCTTACCAGTTCGGGGTTTATCATTATGTCCTTAAAAACCGTCGCAGTGATCGCCCTTCACCGGCTGAGGATGGTGCTTGGACAGCAACCTAATCGGACGGCCTCCTTCCCCTGCACTTTGATGCTCACGGTGCTCCTTTGGACCACAAGCTTTACCCTTGCCACATTGGCCACACTAAGGACACGAAAGTCTCGGATATGCTTACCTATGTACAGTCTAATCAGTGGGGAAGGCAAAATTATCCTGTATTTGTACGTCATAGACTTCACTTTTTGTGTGGCGGTTGTGTCAGCGTCTTACATCATGATTGCCCAAGCACTGAGGAAAAATGCCCAAGTGAGGAAATGTCCCATCATTACAGTGGACACAACAAGGCCGCAGCCATTCATTGGGCCCGGAGTGGATGGGGTACAATGCGCTGTCCCGGCGTTGTACAGGAACCAGAATTATAACAAACTTCAGCATGTACAGACACATGCCTACACCAAAAAACTGAGCCAAATGCCCGTACCGGCAAACAGACTGCAACTCGTGTCAGCTGTCAACTTGTCCACAGCGAAAGATTCCAAAGCGGTGGTGACTTGTGTGGTCATTGTCCTCTCTGTGCTCATCTGTTGCCTCCCTTTGGGAATTTCCCTGGTCCAAGACGTGTTGACCAATAGCAGCAGTTTCATCCTGTACCAGTTTGAACTTTGCGGCTTTACCTTGATCTTCTTAAAGTCTGGCTTGAATCCCTTTATCTACTCCCGTAACAGCGCCGGACTAAGGAGGAGGGTTCTATGGTGCCTCCAGTATGTGGCGTTGGGGTTTTTGTGCTGCAAGCAAAAAACCAGACTGCGCGCTATGGGAAAAGGTACCCTGGAGGCCAACCGAAACAAGTCCTCTCACCACGAAACCAACTCCGCGTATATGTTGTCGCCAAAGCCGCAGAAAAAGTTTGTTGACCAAGCCTGCGGCCCAAGCCATTCGAAGGACAGTGTGCTGAGCCCAAAGGGCTCCGGGGGACATCAGCATTATGCCCAGAGCAGCTCCACCCCAATTAATACCCGTATAGAGCCCTACTATAGTATCTATAATAGCAGCCCCTCCCAAGAAATCAGCACCCCTAATAGCCTGCAGCCAGTAAACTCCACATTCGGTTTTGCCAAATCATATATTGCCATGCACTATCACACCACCAACGATTTGATGCAAGAGTGTGAGACCACTTCTGCCAAGCAAATCCCTGTGCCATCTGTCTGACAATGAGACCGGAACATGCATCTTGTAAGCATCTCCGACATGTGTTACTTTCCATACTGCTATAGGTTTACAGTTTACTATTTCACAAGTATTAGGACTCACTTAATGGAAAAAAAAATATTTTTCATATAACTTTATTAAACAATGTAACAGTTCACATTAACGAGGAGAGTGGCTTTTTTGTCTATGCTTCATTAAGGAATTGTTCTATAGCGACATTCATTTTAATACTGAGAACCATTATTATATGATACATTTTATTATATGGTATCCAATGTAAACTGAAGTAAAGGATTGTTAAACCCTTGCGTATTTTCACGGCTAGCAAGGAGTAGATGTATGCAAAAATATTTTTTTTTTTAAAGTTTACAAAAGGCAACTGGACTTGCTGTATTTTTCTTGAAGACGTTTCACTGGACATCCGACCAGCTTTCTCAATTCAGAATGCCAAAAATGTTCTGGGAATAAATATAGTGAATGTTGCTCCAATCCACATAATCTTTATAATCCCCCCCCCCCCCACCCACACCTTTAGGCATCTATTGTCTGCCACATACAATATACATATATACACATACATACAACACCTCTCTCTGGGCAGGTTAACAACACATCCTAGCTCCAATTATGCAAATGCAATCAACACCTGGTTGTGACTAACAGATTATGTGGATTGGAGCAACATTCACCATATTTATTCCCAGAGAATTCTTGTACAAGTCATTCTGAATTGAGAAAGCTGGTCGGTTGATCAGTATAATGTCTTCAAGAAAAATACAGCAAGTCCAGTTGCCTTGATTTATTTTTTACAGATATACCGTGACCTGGATGAATGAGAACTTTCAGACATATTTACAAAAGGGTTAAAACTTAGCTGTGTCTCCACTGCGATTCTTGGCCGGCCGCAAAGGGGGCTTGGGGCGGGCACATGCGCAGTACAGATCTTCGGCCGGGAGACGAGGAGACACAAGGTAAGTCAATGGAGGCAGCGTTCACCCGCACAGACTCTGTGAGACAGGAAGTGCCAGGAAGAGGAGTCAGCGCTGGATCAGAGACCGGCCCCAGTACTGGAGGGACTCCTGAAAACTACTGGAAAGAATAAGATCGGATTAAGAGGCAACATTTAAGGTAAGTCCTTACGCCAGCATTGGGAGGCGGGGAATTGCCTTTTATGTCACTTTAATGCTACACACACCACTGGATAGTACATTTGTAGGATGATGGGATCTATCCCCGGAGTGACAGATATGCGCCATTCTATTAAAATGGAACAAGGGAGAAGCGAAGATGTTGCCCATGTGATGCGTGAGAGTTAAACTGCATTAGGCTGTCATATGTTCTACTGCATGTTTGAGAATGATCCCTTCTGATTGGTTGCTGCTGGCTACACTGACACTTTATCCTTCCCTACCAGTAAAGGAGAACTCCAACCAAGGTAACATCGCCATTAAAGAAGAACTCCGGGTTATTATTTTATTGACCCTTGCAGTGGGGCTACCCCCATGCTTGTTTTGGTCTAGGGCTCAAAATACTCACCCACACACAGGCTGGCTCTTAGACCTGTCCCTGGAGCCTCTCTCTCCCTCCACTGCAGAGGTCTAAGGTCCCATGAGTCAACACAGCCAAAACACTGCTGGATGGCGTGGGACATTCCATGGAGGCAGGCTGGAGGGAGTGTTGTGACAGCTCAGAGGATCAGGTGACTATAACTTTGTTTTTTTCAGCCCTAGACCGTAATGAGCAGTTAACCCTTGCAGTGTTGGAGTAGCCCCACTGCAAGGGTTAATATAAATGAGCTGGAGGATTTCTTCAGAGCTGATATAAAAGAACAGCAATGCAGCTGTGTATTCAGTCAAATATCATTCAAAGTGGTAGAAGTGCCTGAATCTTGCTTGGGACTAACCTCTTGTAATACCTGCAGCAGGGGTAGGAAGTCTCGGCACACCAGCTGAAGCTGCAAATCCCACAGTGACTCTGGGAGTCATGCCTGTGGCTCTCAGTCCTGAGACTTGTAGTTTCACAGCAGCTGGGATGCCAAAGTTGCCGTTCCCCGCCCTTCAGCATCACTCCAATCAGGTATGCAGCATACAATAAGAAGGAATATGCTGGCAGGAGGAGAGAGCAGAGAGATCTGCTGCTGCTCTTCCATTTTCCAATCACAGGCTGGGGGCATGGAACTGACCATTCTGTATTCGTTACTTGCAGGAGAGGAAAGCGAGATCACCAGGCTGGCTGTGCTGTCTGTCAGGGCTGTGTAAATCTCAGGAATGAATGGACACAACTACAAATCCATTCACAGGTCAGGCAGCTCTCATCAGTGGCGTTACGTGGGGGGTGTGGCCCACACCCGGGAGACACCAAAATGATTAACAGTCATTTTGGTGTCACCCCCTCTAAAAAGTCGCCACTTGGTCATGGACCGAGAGCCAGACAGTGTTAGGAGAGAGGAGGGGACCCAACGGCACACCTCATTCCACCAGGTAAACGTCCCCTCCTCTCTCTGCCGGCAACCATCACCAAGATGGCCGCCGGCAGTTGTCAATAAGATGACCGCACATGCGCGATGAGGTCACGCGCATGCGCGAGGGTGTCACCACGTCTACGCTCCGGGTGACACCTAGCCTTGGGACACCCTGGCTCTCATGTACTTTGCTGTTGGTCTGGAGTTCAGCTGTAAACTTACATGATTAGTTACGTGCTGTTGTGGGCTTAAAGTGTATTTCCACTTCTGCAGCCAAATTGAGATAACACCCACTTTCTATCATTGACATATCACACCTTATTTTAGTAATTTCTGCTTCCACAATACAAGCTCTATGTAAGAAAAGTTCTTCTCTGTACTGAGTTTTGCTCTGGAACACAAGGGGGCGGGGCAAGTTAAAGTAACATAATGAACTCTGTGTCTGCACTGTGCTGGCAGATCTCATTATCCGTTGTAAAACTAGATCTGAACACTGTCTGTCCCAACAAAGGGTTAAAGACCGAAAAGGGAAGCGCTGTCTGTCCCTGGTGTTTCTATGGGGACAGACAGAGTTTCCTGTCACTTGGAAATGGAGAAATAAACATAGAAAGCTCCTATGCAGAGAGATCTAAAAGGTAAGAAATATTTATTTGAATGATATTCTTCGTTGTGCTGTGGTGAATGGGAACACACAACAAACACAAAGATGGGTTTTTGTTTTTTCACATTTGACTGCAAAGGTGGAAATACATTTTAAAGCCATCCTCTCAAGAAAAAAAGACTCGCCTGCAAGGAAAGAGTGTGAATAATTCTCTCTCTGCTCCATGAAGAGCGGTGTGTAATCGGCAAAACTCTGGCTCATTAGGGCGCATATGGGAGCTCGGCAGAGCTTCCACACAGAGAGCTAGGGTCCTTCTTGCTGGCAGAGCACGGCCTTTACTACTCAGGCGGTGGCTGCTGCTTTCTAAAGAAAACAACTGGAAGATTTTGAACAACTTTTGTTTAATTGCACATAGAATGCGGGGAATTTATCAAAACTAGAGCACACAGGATCTGGAGCTTATTTCAGCTTATTTCTTCAGTTTGTTCAGTCAAGATTTGAAAATGAAAAAGAGAAGCTGATTGGTTGCCATGCACAGCTGCTCCAGTTTTAATAAATTCCTTTCATTGTATTTATCTGATTTAAACTGAAAGTTCATGGGGGCTTTAGGGGGAATTTCAGGGGTGCAAGGGAATTGACATGACTCATTTGAACTATTCTGGGCTCATTGTGTCAAACAAATGCCCCATCCTTAGCTGGGAACATGACTTCCACTTGGGAACCCATTCACACCAGGGCAGTTGCGGATCAGCGCGGTTACCAAGCTGATCTCGCAATGGAGGTTTTGGGAGTTTTTAATTGCGTATCAGGGCTGAAACGCAATTAAAAACACCCAAAACCACACCGATCAGCGCAGTTCCATTGAAACCTGTATGGAAACCGCACTGATCACCGCTGCAAAAATAGTGCAGGGAGCAATTCGGGTGGGGGGCGATTCGGATCGCGTGGACTCACGTGGTCGCACGAACGGTCCCCATAGCAATGTATGGGATCGTTCATGTCGGCAGATCCGTGCGTCCGAACCGCCCCAGTGTGAACAGGGCCTGTCTCTATTCCCTACTATGTCCCTGTCTACCTGGGAGTGTCGGGTGATCCCGTCTACTGCTGAGTGTTCCATCATCACCTGCTGCATTCTCCATAATATGAAATAAAAACAGGGGCAGCAAGTCAATGGGAGATATAAAATAAATGTTGTGCCGTTTAACTGTTAGGTATCTACCAAAAACGTGATCCATAATTTGCCAGAACGCACTGTGACATCTCACCGGTACATGTCACCTAAACATGTTTACCATTTTGTCAGGTGCAAGCATACAGTAGAAATTGTCCGTGACCCATAGCAACCAATCAGGATTTGTTTTGATGATGTCAGACCAGTAAACTATGTATTGTGAATGGTTGCTATGGGTTACTTCTATACCTCCCAGCTTTTTTAGATGAGAAAGAGGGACTCCTCCCAGCACAATGTATTTGGGCAATAGACACACCCCTGCCATGACCCCAGCTATCCAGACAAGATATATATTACAAAAATAAACAGCTAAACACAGAATTGTTGTTATTTTCACCATTGGTTTTCCTTTATATCAGCTTTCCAAATAACATACAAGATCATTTAGAGATAAGATGAAGGTTTTAATGCAGAATGACACACTACACTTGGGTAATTAAATAGAACGTTTGCATAAATATCTGTACATCAGACCTATAAGAGGGACAACTGAGGAGGAGAGAAGGACAGAGGGGTTTGCTTACAAATGAGGGACAGTTGGAAAGTATGTGCTCTTAGGAAGAGTCCCCCGTTGGAACAAGGTGGTCATTTACTGATGTGTTTCTAAGTACGCTGATTCAGTGATTTTACCTAATATTAGGGGTTGGCAACCTTGGCACTCCAGCTGTGGTGAAACTACAAATTCCTTCATGTGTCTGACAGCTACAGGCACGACTCCCAGAGGCAGAGACAACAACAGACTGGGACAGTATCTAGTCTGTATGATAAACTGCTTTCTATGATAGGGGTTGGCTGTTTCCCATCTTCAGGTACCCAAAGACATGAGACCATTT